TGGTTGGTGGGCGAGATTTTTTTTTTTTTTTTTTTTTTTACAGATACTCTGGTTGTTTTGGGAAATGGATCGACTGTTCCAACAGGACGTGCAGGCATGGATATCCCTTTGTGCTTTATTTTCTTCTTCTTTTTGACCATGGAAGTTTGTGGCCTTAAACGTCACCAGTCTATATCATCACAGACAGCTCCCTCGCCCAATGAGAGCTAAGCCTCATCTTCCAGACGCAAGGTTTATGCCAATACGCACAGCTTCCATTAGTGTATATGCGTGTGTGTATATAGATATATATATATATATATATATATATAAAGAGAGAGAAATATTTATGAATCTATTTTTTTCCTATTTTGTGACGAGAGCTATTAATAAGAAACAAACAAAAAAGTATTTTTTTGGTGGAACACTGCCATGTTATTCTGAAGGGAAGTGTTTATTTTCTTGGAAGTAGACTATGAATATTGGTAGTATACTAAAAGTAAGAACAGTAATGAATCACCGCAACACTTTGATCAGAATGTGATCGGTGCGCATGTCAGTATTGCGATCTACCTCATGCGTCAGGGTACCTCAGTCCAATATTAAATTTCCCTTTTTTTCTCCCCACATTTTGTATGCCTTGTAAACTGAAAGTTTTGAACGTTTTCTTTTTATTAATAATAAAAGAGATCAAGAAAAGTCTTCAGGTCCATCTGGCAAAAACAAATGGATCTTAAAGCTTTCAAAACTGAATGCGAATTCAGAGACAATGACTATCAAGGAGAATGGCTTAATTCAAAGCATTCTCCAGGAGCAACTACGTGGTCCGAAGCATCCAAATTCAGGAGTTACAGTCAGACCAAATTTTTTAATTAAGGCTTTTTTTTAATCAAGGTCTTTCACAAAACAAAACCAGGTTGATATGAAAAAAAAAAAAAATAAATAAAACGGCTTTTTTTCTTGTTGTAATCCACAGAGTAACTGTTTTTTAAGTGTTTATTATAATCCCACAAAAATCACAAATGCAGGTATTTTTGTTGCCTCAGATCTGCTCTGAATGCAGTGGATCTGTTGCCGGTTGCAGTCTTTGTGTGTTACCGCTAAAACAACAACCCAGATAGCACATGTACGTCTGCAAGATGTCGGTTAAAGATCTTTTGATCTGGAAAGCATCTACTGTGTACGGGGGGAGGTATTGGGGGACTGAGAGCTGAACCTTTTTTTTTTTTTGCTAACAACCATGTTGTTTTGAAATGTAGGTGAACTGTACTGCTGATCAACATGGATTTGAGCAATAAAAATTCTTTATAAAATTCTTGTCTAAAGCTCATCTTGTTGGACGGGGATCCAATCCTCCTCCTTTAGGACCACTGTCTGGTGGAGTTTAGCTTTAGTACTAATATAACACACCTAAACCAACTTATCAAGGTCTTCCGTAATATTAGGATGTATCCGTGATACCTCCCGCACCCTCATTCACTATTCCTTACATTACTCAACTAATATAGTCCACTGAATGAGTGAATGAAAATGAGCGAATTTGAACACTGAGGTGCTGTGGACGTATGTTCTGGTGAGACATGAAAATTCATTCAGCATGGCGCTTAATGTGTAAAGGTATTCTTTAGCAGCTAGCTGTTGTGTGTACATCAGTTGTACACTCGTGGAGGTGCATTATGGGATTGAATAAGTGCACTCAATGTCCACTATGGTTTCAGACGGAATAGTGCATTATATAGAGCTGCATGATTAATTAAAACCTAAATCGCAATAATATTGATATCACCATAAATATTAGTGTTGTAATTTTACTGTTATAATCTAAATTAAAATTATTTTATTATTTTTCTTAACTCAGTTTTACAGTGAAATATTACAATAGTAGTTTCATTTAGTTGTAATAATTATTACTAGTTATTTTATTTTGTATCCATATTAATATCAAAATTGTGCAGCCCTACAAACAAGCACATTTTTTAAATCAAAATTATCAGAAAAATCGCAATTAAATTCTTAACCAAAACTGTGCAGCCCTAGCACTATACAAGGATAAATGCAGGACATTGCCCTGGTCAGACAAATGCACTAATCATAATGTGATGCCATTTTTTCTTTAATTAAAAAACGGCATTTATAACATTCATCAACTGCGTATGAATACTAGCTTGAAATGAACACAGCATGTAGATATGATCAAATGTTCTGACAGAAGCTAATGGAATGAGTTTATTATCAGATGATTGATCACATCGTAAACAGCTTTACTCACGTGATGTGGGTGTTCGGTGAATAAAAATACTACATTCTGCTCCCAGCATTGGTAATGCCACTGACATATAAACAAGAATTTGCTTTAATTCACCATTTTAACACTAAGTTGGATGGGCTTTCAGTGATCAGGCAGGACTTCACATACTGCCGCCTTCCCCATAAAGAAACAAAACCCATAGTGAATATTTACAGCTTTATGTTTTAATATTTACAAGTACTCCAAGAAAGTAAAATAGTAAACATTTCACTTCAGTGAGGTAGGTCACTTTTAAGGCTGATGTGAAACTTCAAAAGACAGTAACCCACAACCAAAATCCATGATATTAGTCTGTAAATACAGAAGAATAGTATCAAATACCTCAAATGTCTATTTTGCTGCAAAATTTCACATCTTTTAAACCACAAAAGCCTGTTATGGACAGCTGATGTGCACTGGAATAAATGTACAGTATGTATAGTAAGTGAAAACCGACAGATGAACAGTTTCATATTTCTGTGATTTGTACATAAAGGCAGGATTCAGAATTCAAGACCACCAATATTATATGTAAATACAGAACTTCCCAAAACGGCAGCAAAAAGTCCCTTTTTCTCACTACATTTCAATCCATGCCAGTAACGGCATAGCAGCCTTCCAAGTAAAGAATATGTAAAACTTACATTTCCATTTTTAAAAATGTGAGGCCACAAAAAAGATTTTAGAGCTCTTAAAAGCCACTTTAAATACAAAAAGTAGCCACCCACAAAGCAGCCAAGGGGGATCGAATCACTGACCCCACACTGTCCCTTATCTGTTTTTCTTGTCTTGACTGAGTCCATTTGTTTCATGGCCATCCAGGTGGAGATGCTGAGTGCTGTATGTACGGATCAGAGCTCCAGGCAGCAGAGCAACACAGGCAATAAGCAGTAGTTTCAACACCACACTCCAGGAGAACAAGTCGTCCAGAGAGGAGATTTGAGACAGCATTGATCCCGTCTGGACGCAGATGAAGTTGTATGGCATCAGGCCTGAAAGAGAAAACAGATGTTTCAAATAAATGCTACAAATATTAAGAGAAATGTTCTGAAAAATCCTCTGCTGTCATTTAACTGTGCTTACCAATGAAGACAGCCATGAAGAAAAGAGTGACTGGAATATTCAGTAGTGGGGAGGTCATGTTTAAGAACCAGTTTGGACTCATGGGAAAGAATCTCAGGAACAGCAGAAAAAAGAACAAGCTACTTCTGTTTTCCTCAACCTGGAAAAGAGTAAACATCAAGTGATGATTCTTTCTATATTGTACTTTCAGACATCTTAGAAGATAAGACAACTTGATGTACCTTCTTTTGCAGCATGGCCACCTTGTCGGGGAAGAGTCTCACAATGTGCTGCTTGCCAAATGCCTGGGACAGGAGGAAACATAGAGTGGCACCCACTGTGGTGAGGACACAGGCGAGGAGAAGACCATACCATGTCCCGAACAAAGCCCCAGCCAAGATGTTCTGGGAAAAAAAAGTCATAAGAGCAAAGTATATACAGGTGCATGTTGTAAATAACCCTCCTGCTAATATGGGCACACCATTTGTCAAATTGACCCCCGTTGGTTTCAGTGTAATTCGCCATCGCCAACACTACGAAAAACATAAAACCTCTAGTGCAGCATTTCAGAAACTAAAATATGAGAAATTATGAACAGTTCCTCCCTTTGTGTTGGGTCAATTTGACCCACGTTTTTGTTCAAATTTACCTGCATTGACAAAATAAACGGTTTAGTATTAAACTGTTTTGTAGTGACTGCACACTGAGGTGCAAATGACTACAACCAAGTATAAATAGTATTTAACATTATTTGTACTTGGTGGATATTGTATTGGTGAACAGCCTCTGCTTTTTTTGTTATGTCTGGTTCTCAAACCTTTGTAAAGGTAAATTGGGTTTCTCACACTACTTTTCAGTTCTGCAACAGACTAGTAACAACCAAAAACAAATAAAGAGTTTCACACTAAAAAACAGAATGCTATGTGGAATGGTCAGATGGGTCTTACATTTCGAGTAAACTTGTAATTCATATTTTAGTCTTTGACAAGCTACAATAAAATTTCCTGATTTGTGCCTGCTGATTGCATGTTGTTTGTCAAAGTGTTGACAAACACTTTGTGTTGATTTCCATGTTCAATCAACACAATCAACACAAAGTGTTGATTTCCATGCGAACTGCATGGAAATCAATGGGGGTCAGTTTGATCATTGTCACCAATATTTGTACAGCCTTTTCAAAACACATCTATGTTGAAGCTTTGCATGCACATTCGTAACCCTAAATGAGGAAAAACATTTCATGAAGAAATAAATGGTTTAACCAATGTTTCAAGCAGTTTAAAAATCAAGTATGGTCAAACTGACCTGCATTGAAGTATTTGCTTATATACTCACTAAGAAAGAGGAACGGGGTATGGCAAAAGCCTGTTTGTAGAGGTAGGCACTGCAGACGAGTAACAACACATACCCTGTGTGCTGTGTCTTATAAAACTGCAACAGCTCTGCCATCTCTTTCAGTTCATCCAGATCTGATGGGAACTTCAACCTGGACCAAAATAAAATCGCATGACATGGACATTTGGCAAACTTGCAGGGACAGTATCTCAGCTGATTATGCATCTGGCTCAAGGACACTATGGTGATAGTTCAAGAATCGCTCTTTTGCAAGGTTTAAACCTACATCGTCGATATTAAACCAACTCATCAGACATAAGAAAAACGTCTTCAGATTTAAATAAATTAAGAGACCGAACTTCTCTAATATGAGTAGTAGGTAGGGCATCACAGACGATAGTAGTGGATATTCAGGAATAAACGTTGCAGCGACAACAGATCTGATTTCACTGCCAAAGGACAAATGACAGCTGGAGACAAGACAAGAGAGAGAGCATCCATTTTGAAAATGCTTCACACTTACGCTTTTCACACTTTGATACATCCTCAAAATGTTTCGTACAAGACTGAAAAGTCAGCTGTGAGAGCTGCAAATAGCAAAAGACAGATGGTCATTATCACACATGCAAGAGAAAAGCACACCTGGAGGCTGCAGTCTCCATTTCACTTGGGTTGTCTTCATCATTAGATTTTCTCGTCTCTCCATGGTCTTGCTTAGGCAGCCGAGGTCCAGGAGGGATAAAAGAGGACAGTAAATAAAGGTAAAAAGTAGCCGTCAATATTACAGCAATCAGACCAACAAGCGAACGCATGACGGAGTAACTAGAGGGCGCAGATACTGCATGTCCAATTCACTGCGGATCACTTCCGGGAGCGAAATTACGAATCCTACGTAAGAGACAGACAAGCTAATTAATATGCTTGCGTTCAGAGCCGCTGATTGGTAGGATTCTCGACGTGCCTGACCACGTGATCTATTTAATATTCATAAGCTAGACCTTAGCTTCGCCAGTTTACCAAACAGACAATTATCAACATTTGGCCAGAGAGTGCAATAAAATAGAACCAGGGAAAGTTAAATATTATATTTAATTATTAACAATATTCCATTCTCTAAAAGCCTTTATACAACAATACTACAGTATTGTTTAAAGTTATTTATTAAACGAAAATGTAAAATACCTCAGAAATATACAATTCCACTCAAAATTATATTTATTGTCCTCTATATAAAATTTTTGTCAATCCAAAAACTGCAATGACATTTGTCTTTCACCAAATCGGAAAAAGACTACTGGGTGGACGTCGCATATTTAATATTTATGAGCCAGTCGACCATAGTAGAATTAGTAAAAACGGAAGTCTCCTGCGGTGACCAGATGTTAATTGAATAACTTAAGCTTTATTTTGGCAAACCAATGTTTTATATTCATAGTGAAAGTCAGTTGTGATGGAAGACACGTAGGACATGCGACGTCCTCACTTAAAGACACAAGCTCCAATATTAAGAGCGGCTGTGATTGCACTGACGCACTGAGTTTGCTGGTGTTCCAAAGTCTTGCAGTTCTTTCAACTCACAACAACACCGTTCAGCTCAACAAAATGGCCCGATATGAACTTGTTAAAAGATCAGTTGCTCTGATCACTCTTACCAACCCTCCAGTCAATGCCTCGAGATCAGTGAAAACCTGATAAATAATACTAAAACGAATTCATTTACTTAATGCATTATCCATGTTTGTTAAAAAGAAAAACCAAACTACAGTAATGCATACAATCTTGCATATACATTTCTATTATTATAATGCTTAATGTACTACTTTGTATAAAACTTTTTATAAATGCTATGATTTATACACATGATCTTGTCCACAAAGACAAAGTGTCATTGAAATGTCCATTTTTCAAATGCATTTTTTTAGTTAATGAACAAAAGTGATTTGATCATGTCCATGCTCTTTCTCCTTAGTTCTGCAGTGCGTCATGCCATCGCAAAGAGCATGGAGTGTGCCCTGAGTGACCCAAAGGTCACGGCCGTGGTCATCTGTGGAGAGAATGGAAGCTTTTGTGGAGGTTAGACTATTAAAGATAAACATCCACCAAAAGCTTTTTTTAAGTCTTTCAATTAAATGCTTGCTCTGGCTGAGTTATGTAAAGGATGAAATACACTACACAACTTTTAAAATCTGAACATATTTTAAAACACAAATGTTTACAGAGGAAAAAAAGGGCATACTAAACAACTGAGGATCACACAAACATACGTCTCATTGTGTATTCAAGCCTTAAGAAGACCATCTAATATCTGATGATGCAGTGTTCTTCTGCAGGTGCAGACATTCGGGAGTTTGCTGGGCCTTTAAAAGGGCCTCCATTGGTACCCTTGTTAGATGCCATAGAGGCAGGAGAGAAGCCTGTGATTGCTGTCATAGGGGGTTGCTCTAGGTGGGGGCTTTGAATTAGCCCTAGTCTGTCACTATCGTATTGCACACTCTAAGGTAAACCATTTTATACTGCAGTTTATTCTTTTGAACATGCATACTGAACTAGCTTCAATACTGTGCAATGCTGTCTAGTGCTGATATGTCCCTAGTTAATCGGTTGAACTTTGATATTAATATGTAAAGTTTATCAGACAAGGGAAAGGTTGTTGTTTTGTGGTTTATGCACTATGTAGTGTATAACATATCATGTGTTCCAGGCACGTCTTGGACTTCCAGAGGTGACTTTGGGCATCCTGCCAGCTGCAGGGGGAACACAGCGTCTTCCCAGGCTTATTGGCATTCCTGCTGACCTAGAACTGATCACCACTGGTAAATCATACACTTAGCCTACTGGCACACCCACAATTCACCCCATCAGATTTCAGCCACTTTACTATCTTCAACCACATGCCCTCTCTGCAACCCTCCAAAAAAAAAAAAACATATCAGCCATGTCATGCAGAGAGTATTTCTGAAATTTCCAATTGGCTAAGAATGAATGAGCTGGTCCCCTAATTCTTCAGCACTTCATGGTGTTTTTAGTAATAAGTAAAATTGTTCCCACTAGGTGTCAGCATTGTACATTGTTTCTGATTGATTTGCCTTAGGGCTTACAGCAATAGTTCATCCAAAAATGAAAAATTTTCATTATTTGCTCACCCTTATGTAATTCCAAACATATGTTCTGATATTTTTCAGTAGAACACAAATAGAAAGAAGAATTTTCACAGTGCCTATTTTTGACCACATATATCTTTATTTATTTATTTTGGGCACTTGTGAACATTCTTTAAAAAAATCGTATTTGTTTTCTTCTGGTAAAATAACAGTATGCAAGATTGAAATGCTATGAGGATGAGTAATTTATTTTCATTTCTGAGTGAACTAATCCTTTAACAAATGAGCAATCAGATTTCAGTTGTTTTATGATTGTGATGGGATTTTCCTCACCTGTTGTCATAATATATTAAGCAGAAAAATAAGCAAGTAAAGCACTCCACATCGCTCAGTTTCTCATTTACCAACAGCAGCATTATTGTTTGACATTGCAGGCCGCCATATCTCTGCCCAGGAGGCTCTGAAGCTGGGCATCGTTGACCAGGTCACAGAGCAGAATGCTTGTGAGGTGGCTGTGGAGTTTGCCCTGAGAGCTGTAGGTATGTCGTGAACTGGCAAAGCGGAAATACAGACTGAACAGTAAAGGGAAGCAGAGTCTTTGGCAGGCTTTCAGAGTCATGGGCCGTACCAGGTAAAACCTTTGTCACAGCAAATGGAATTAATGTTTCATATCCTTGTCAACGAGTTGCAAAGTCGTTCTTTGCTTTGATCTATTTTTCAAGAAGTGAAAAGGAACAAACATTATTAGAATATTAACTGTGACCCCTCATTGGAGAACGATTTGAACAAATTACATTTTTTTATGTATGTTTTTTCTTTTCAAAGTAACAGTCAAGTTCTTGATTAAAAATCTTTTATTCCCTTTTATGTTAAGATGGTCTTTATATCACCTCAAACTAGTTCAAAAACGTGCAAAATGCTAATGATTATACTCAGGGACTAGACGTTTTAACTGGCTATTTACAGGTCAAGTGGAGTCAAAAATGAATGTTTATATTGTCGCTTGGAGGGTGTTGAATCGTGCTCGGCCTGAAAAAGTGATTAGAGACTCTCTCTGCAGCTTCTGAAAAATGAATGCCGATTCTTCAGCTTCTGCTTGACCCTAATTTCCTCCAGTAATGAAAAATCATATGAGAGCAATTAAATAATTGAAAGGATTACTGGACTCTGAAATATTTCTGTCAAATTATTCAGCTTTCCTAGGTCTACAGTAAGTGCAGCTGTTCGTTGTACTCTACAGGCCACAAATTCTCGCTTAGACTGAGGGAGATCCCTTGTAATGTGAATGTTGTGAGTGACACTCTTAGGGAGAGATCAGGGTTCATCTAGAGTCAGGATAAGTTCTGGAGGGAGATTAAAGATTGGCCACAACTAATGCTGTCACTGTAATCACACGCTGAGCGAAGATCAACCCGACCAAATCCTCATGACAGTCAACTAAATGGAATTGCGGAGCTGGTATTGTGGACAACAGCCAAATGTGCCTGATTTACTAATTAATGGTAAATAACTAGTGTAAATGGTTCAAAATAGTCAAATCTGTCAGAACGTAAACAGCACAAAAAAAAAAAAAAAACTGCACCAATCACTTGTGACACTGAAGACTGGAGTTAAATTCAATTATTTACATCTCAGGAATAAATGACATTTTTTAAAAGTATATATTACAATAGAAACAAGTTGTTTTAATTTGTAATAATATTTCACAATTTTACTGTATTTTTCGTCAAATAAATCCAGCCTTACTGACAAACATTTTTACACTTCATAATTACTGTAAGTCAGTAGTTTAATTTGTATAATTGCTGTTGATTCAGTTACATCATTCACAGTGCTTCCTGAGTAGTTAATTTACTCATACAAGAATGTAAATGTTATGAGTGTCTTTTAACTGATTTCCAATTATTTATTTATTTGCCTCAAGTCAATGTTGAAATGTTGTCATTCATCTTGTAGCTCTTGAAGAATTTGTTTAAAATCCCTTTTCACAATGAATGGAACAAATACTTGCTGAACCAAGATTATGTGCTCGTTTTTTTTTTTTTTAATTAATTTAGTTATTTAACAGGGAACCATGTCATAAGTAATCAGAAGTGGCATATTCATATTCCCTAAACACTTTTTGTAGAGTCTCGCTCTCGGCTCTCATAGCTACAGAGATTCATCTTGTTTTCCAGTCGCAGAAACATCTGCCAAATGCACCTATCAGGATCTAACCCAGCCCTACAGTACTTGCTCACAATAAATCACAGCATTAGTGATTCAAGTCCTGCCCACAGCATCACAGATTAACCACAGATACATCTGTATCATGCAGTAGTGTGCACAGCACACTAGACATCAAACTGAACACTCCTTATGCTTTTATGTGTTAATTTAAAGGAATTACTCATAGCTATTGTATAGTACAACGAATGAACACAAGCTTAGTGAACACAAGCTTAGTGAATCATGTTTAGTGAAAAATATGCAGTGTTTGCAGCTCTGAAATTTAGAGAATTAATAAATCATACCCTTTAGTACAGTTTTAAAATACTCATTCCTATCAATATACTTTATATTGATTGCTCAAAACAGGACAGTGCAGAAAGCAGACAGAACTGTTGGGTTCTGGTTTTGCTGGCCCTTTAAGGCTTATCAGTGTGACCCAGATTCCAGAGAGAAAGATGAATCTAATGCAATTAGAAACTATATTGAATCAAGTACCACCCTGCATAATCCTTTTAGTGAGGCAGGAAATCAAACGTTAGAACCTCTGGTAAGTTCAGAAAAATGCAGTTTTGATGGGCTGTTGTGTGTGTGTGTGTGTGTGTGTGTTGGTTTGTTGTGCCAGTGTATATATGAGGAAGTGTGAATGGGTGTATGCCAGACAGAATATGACTCAAGTCAGTGTCTGCCACACTGTGCTTTGAGTGCCATGGTTATACACTTTCAGACTTTCAGAAATTCAATTCATATTTTAGCAAGTGATATATATTACCATAAAGATTTTGAAATATTGGTAGATGAACTTGTTGACAGATTCAGTACTGTATGGTTTTTGTGTAACTGTATATAGATCATTACCACTTTTCATTGTTAATCTATAATCTGTAAATCAAATCGGGAACAGGCATTAGTCACCGGAAAGGTTCAGGACTGTCCACCCAGCATTGCCTTTATGTTTCACATAATATTTTGACATCATATTTTGTATATCTTTAACAGCCAAACCGCTGCTTTCACGAAGAGTGAGCATGCTGACCACACGCTGCCCTCCAGATCTGGATGCCCTCTTAGATGCGGTCACCATGCAGGTTAAAAAGAAGGCTCCGGGAGTGATGGCATCTTTGGCTCGTATTCAGGATTTTTTTCAGGATTCTTTGATGAATAGAAAGCTCAAAAGAACAGCATTTATTTGAAAGATCTTTTGTAAGATTATAAATGTCTTTACTGTCACTTTTGATCAATTTAAAGCATTCTTGCTTACAAAAAGTCTTAATTTCTTACCAAAATCTTACTGACCACAAACTTTTGAACGGTAGTGTATACATGATGAATTACCTGTTAAAATGCTTTTGATTATTTATATGGCTGTGCATTCAGTTTGAGGGAAAACTTTTTAATTAATTTGGCTTAGAGGATCTATGTGGAATAGCTGGTCTGTGAGGTGTACTGTGTATGATGTGATTTGTGCTTTGCTGCAAGGGATAAGTTAATTGCTATTGCTTCTGTGCTGCTACCCAAATATGTCTGCGGCTGTTTAATTAAACACCGCTAAACCCCTGTGTTCACCCCTTTGAACTATGCCCAAAGATGGTGTAGAAAACTATGAAGACCAAATTATTTGTACATATACATAAAGAGAGATCTCAGAAGTTTGCATCAGTACTTAGATTCACTAATCATCAAGATGTGTTGAAAACTCACCAACTTACCAAGGATAAGTCTAATTAATATAATAATAATAATAATAAAAATACATTATTTTAGAAAGTCTTTCTAATGTCTTTTCTATGGAAGCCCGTTTCTGCCACTGAATAAAAAAATTTTTATTTTTTATTCAGTGGCGGAAACGGGCTTCCATACTTTTCTTTATACACCTTACAATAAAATTATATAAATGAGAAAACCATTGTAATGGCTTTCAGGAGAATACAGCGCCGTCTGCTGGTCAAGTGTCGTCTCTGCCGCTGTGTGCAGTATAATATGTGTCCGCGTGCGAGCAGCGCTCACTCAGTCCCGGAGCAGCATCAGCCGCGGCAGCTGCAGCAGCAGCACGAGAAGCACCACC